GTAGAGATTAAGTGATATAAATTAAAATAACAAAAATAACACGAATTTTTTTATTTTGATTATGTAAATAAACAATTGACGGTCATATGATCGCAGTATGATATCACAATTATATGACGAAAATTTTTTAAATCGCATTTATAAAAGTGTCTGGAAACTTTTGACCACCCTCTGTACTTTGTATTCTTTTTCTATTTTTCGCATCTCTAGCTCATTATAATTACTAATTATATTTCTTGCCTATCTGGAGATTCCACAATCTCAAAAATACTATTTTGTAATCTTACTTAGCTATACTCTTTAGAATCTTATAAATACTAACTTATTATTTTATTTAGCACGGGTTTTTTGAAAGCAAATAAGCTTACTGTATGCAGAACGAAGTGGAGCAGTAAGCAAATTGTGAACACAATAAGTGGGTAGATAGTATGCAAATCATAAAGCAAATAGTATTCACAGTCTACGAAGCGAAGCAGAGTATATATACAAGATATAAAACAAATAGTGTTCACACTCTGCGAAGCGAAGCGGAGCATGTACATAAGATATGAAAGCAAATAGTATTCACACTCTGTGAAGCGAAACGAAGCATATACACAGGATATGAAAGCAAATAGTATTCACACTCTGCGAAGCGCCGAAGGTGCAGAGCATATATACACAAGATATGAAAACAAATAGTATTTACACTCTGCAGAGTAAAGCGGAGCATGTACACAAGATATGTTCACAGAAGTTGCAGAGTACCAAAGGTGCAGAGCATATATACACAAGATATGTTTACAGTCTACAGAGCACTGAAGGTGCGGAGCATATGTACACAAGATATGTTCACAGTTTGCGAAGCGCTGAAGGTGTGAAGCATATATACACAAGATATATTCACAGTTTGCGGAGCGTTAAAGGTGCGGAGCATATGTATACAAAATATGTTCACAGTCTGCGAAGCATAGTGAAGCATATACACAAAATATGTTTACAGGATTGTGAAGTGAAGCGGAGCAGTTAAGCAGTTTCTTATCACAGATTAGCTAAATAGACCCCTTTTTTTCATTAATTCGAAAAAACGATAAAGTTTAGTCATCCCGCAGTCTTTTAGACAAGGAGACAAATATCAAAAAACATATTTTTAAAAGACTTCTATTGCCTAGAAGCTGTAATATAGAATCTTGTCTCAGTTTTTTTCATTATTGGACCACCAGGCCTATATAACCAGTCTCAGACATATTTTTGGATTACCTGGGATGCTTGATCATGTTTTTTATCTTGAAGTTTGTTTTTATAATAATTAGCTTTACTGTAATACTTTCCAGCATGTTTCATACACATTCCATAAGAAGAAGCTATTGGTATACCACATATATTACAAGAAATATGAGTTTGCCTTTTCCAATGAATATGGCATTCTTCTTTCTGGTAACATTTTTTTCCACATATACGACTATCAATATAGGTGTATGGACAAGAATAAAATGCCATACCTTTCTATTATTTTACAAATTAAATATTTTCTGAGGTTATTAAAACGAGATGACATCTAATATTAAGGATTTAGATAAAAGAATGGAATCTTTATCTCAAGTAATTCCAGAGAGACTAGCAAAAAAAGTAGAGAAAGCATTGCTAGAAGTATTAGAATCGGCAATATACCAGAATTTTAAAGAGAGTAGTAAATTTGTTAGAGATTATCTTAGCTATGTAAAAAAATTGCGATTGGCAGAAAATCCTGACAAATATGCTAGATATATTGCAAGAAAACTAGTTTCAGATGAAATATCATATAATACAAGATTAGAGAAGATTCAAGCATGGTATCGTAGGGAATTGCGTACTAAACTAAAAGAATTATATAGCCTTTATTATGAAATATTCTAGAAAGAAAAATGTGAAATATCTAAAGATAATGCAAAAGAAATTATTCAAGGACTTCTTAACATGTCACTTACAGATGATTAGCTCTGCTAGTGAAACTAAATATGCAAATCTGATAACTTTCTTAACTTGTTAGCACCCATTGGAGTGGCAATTCAGTATCATAAGGAATTACTAGCAATTCTTCGCGTACAAATGATTGTTCAGGACTATTGCTTTCATTATCTATAAGCTAATAAAGAACCGGCTGATTTTTTTGTACTAGTAATTTTTTAATATAGTAAACTTGTAGAGACCAATTTTTATCAGTTGCACGTTATTTACTATCTCCTTCTAGCTCACCAGGTTCAAGCAAATATCTTACCAAGATATCATAAGTTAATCGTGGTTTATCATAGCCTATAGGATCTTTTCGAATTTTAAAAGACATGGCAATGACTTTATCTTTTTCTATTGCCTCAGCTGGAGAAATATCAAGTAAGCGGGTTATAGAATTATTAATGTCTTTAACAACTATAGGCAAATTCTTTACCCAAACTCAGGATATCTTATCTATATGTAAATTTAAAAGATCAGAAGCATCCTGAGAACGAAACAATCTCTTAGTTAAGGTTTTATTATAACTTTCAACAATACTCATAGAACGCTTAGTCTTGGCCTTCTGAATCTTTACGTCATGTTCTCTCATTAATTTCTCACAATTACCTCTAAACTCTAAACCTTTATCTGTTAAAAATATTTTTGGCCAGATAAGAGGACACTCAGGAGCATCATATCTCTCCTTAAGAGCTCTAGCAATAGTGCGAGAAGTCAAGATGCCCTGTATATCTTTTACACTATAAGCACCTATGGGGACAGAAACTTTATATCTTGAAGCCACATCTACAATATTAAGGCAAAAAAGATATGTAATTCGACCTATCTTATCATAAGACATATAGAGAATATCTGCCTGATATACTTCATTGGGAATAGTAATAGAGCTAAAACTTACTCATGAAATATACTTTGGCTGTGGTCTATGAATTTGATATATAGCTTGCCTTTTAAGCCAATCTTTTACTTCGTCTAGACTAAAATCATACTCAGCTTTTTTAGAAACTTCATGTAATTTTTTAGCAGTTCTCTGATATCCAACAGGCTGATAATAAATCTTCTGCAAAGTAATAGAAATATCAAGTTTTCGAGTTTCACCTGATTCTATCTGAATAATAGGAATTAACATGGATGATCCTGCTTACATAGAAATCCTAAATACTAATAAAGAGTTGTGCAAAGAATTGGAGAATGAAATAACTAAAAGCAAACTTAAGAATAAAAAGCTAAAATCGCTTTTCAGGGAGCTAGAAAATTGTTATAAGATATTATCTCACCAGGATTCAACAATAATAGCTCACGAAGATGAGATAGCATCTCTTAAGTCTGAGATAAAATTACTTAAACAGCGACTTCACAAAGTATTACAGGATTTAAAATATAAAGGTAATGTAAGTACTGCTCAAGATATCCATATTTTAAGGCTAGAAGACATGGTTGAACAGCTTAAAAAGTGAATTAGGGAGATTACAGATAAAAAATTATCCCAA